TATTATTATTATTATTATTATTATTATTATTATTATTATTATTATTATTATTATTATTACCATATTATTACTACTATTATCATCATCATCATCATCATCAATATCATTATTATTATTATTATATCTATCATATTATTGTTTGTAATTCAACAAAAAATTAAAAACTAAAGATAACTCACTTGTCATAAGGTCGTTGACCCCATATGTGAGCCACGCTGTTTACAAAAAAGGCTATGTTGAGAGTAATACAGAAACGACAATTAAAATTCACCCAGAAAGATGTCCAAATGGATTCTGACCAAAAATACCAAGGTACGACAACTGGAAGTCCAATAGTTAAAAGAGGGAACAAAAGAATGTAATATCTAAAAATGAATATATCCTTGTTAAAACTTGACATTATTTGATAAATTAGTTTCTTATTGATTAGAACGCCACCTTTTCTGCCACATGACAAGTCGATCGGCCTCCAAATCACTCATGTCCACTGTCTTTCGTTTCGAAACAACATCGGGATGCGGAGTTATAAAAAGCCATCCTACGTGTGCGAAGAAAAAACCTCTTTTAACATTATGAGGATCTGCGTCAGTTTCACTATACTTATGATGCACTCTATGATCCAATGCCCATCTGTATACATCTTTCTATAGACGAGATTTATACATATTTATTAAAGACTTGAAGTTTTTAAATTTTAACGAAAGAGATTCATATTTTATATTTCGAAAAATTTGAATACTTTTATATTTTAATTTCTATATTATTGAATTTCTCAAAAATTAATTTTTTAAAAATTATTAAAAAAATTTAATTTCTAATTTTTAATCAATTTGTAGATATTGATTAAATTGTAATAAAAAAATCATATACTTGTCCGGTTATGGTAAAGAGGAATATTAGAAGTAATCGAAGTGGCCATTTTGCTTTGTATGCCCTATGAGACCACAATCGATGTACTCCTGCAGTTATGCCGAATCCGGTAGTATAAATAGTAATAAACACTGCAACAGAATGGATAATATATATTTATAATTTCGATAAATTTCGTGAGAAAAGAATTTTATATAATATAATAAATAAATGCAATTATTAATATTGTTTGATATATTAAACATTATATGCATATATATATATTACATTTTTTTATATATATTTGTAATTCATTGAATAAATATGTATATATATAGATATATAAAAAAATTTAATTAATTAATTATATTATAATATTTATAACATAATATTTTAAAGTATTAGTAATATAATTTAATAGCGTATAAATTACATCGAATTTTTATTGTATTATTAACCGTTTATATACTATTTTAAAATCACTTATATATTATTTTAAAATAATGATTTAACAATTTATAATTTATTCATTATTTCATTATTTTTTTTTAGTTATAATCATTAATCAACAATGTATAATTAATATATTATTAATATAATTAATAATTTTTAATCTTTTAATGTAATATTCTTTTAATATTTTAATTTTTATAATTTTTTTTTTCTTAATTAATTTTTTTTTTTAATATATTGCTCATTCATGAAAAATATCATTGAAATTTTAATGAAATCATCATTTTGTTTATATATGAAAATTTGATTATTAAATTTTTAATTTTTTATAATCTCAAGGAGGAAATATTTTATATAACAATGAGATATATTTTTTTTTATTAATTTGAATAATATGAATTAATTTCTGAAAAGTGAAGAACAAATTTAGTTTATTGATAGTTGTCTTTCATTCTGTAATTTATTCAATTACTTATTTAAATTATATATAAAACATTGATATCCACGAAACATATAAAAATCAATAGTTAATTAAAAATAAGAACAATATTCTAATTCTAAATTGGAAAATTTAATTAGAAATTGATTAAATCTGAAAATTTTCTTTTAGATTTTCATTTATTTTTCTTCTTTAAAATTATAGAATTTCAATTTTAATTACATAAAATTAATTAATTAAAAATTAAATAGTATTTAATAAAATGAAATTAGAATTTTAAAAAAATGGAATTGATCATTTTAATTTCTGACTGGATTAAATAGCAACTTAAAAATATATTTCATCCAAGTGTTTTTCTTTCATCTCTATACAATATTTTATTAATAACATCAGTTAATATAATCAATTATCAATAATACAAATGTTCTAATATCCTATTAATAAAATATATCTTTTCAATTTCAATCTCAATTCATTATTAATTTCTGTGAATGCTTTATTTTTAAAATTTTATGAATTTTTTTATGGCAATATTAAAAATATTTATTCTAAACAATTTTAAATATACTTACTCCATAACGTGGTAGAGAGTTTGGCTTCAACAAAGATGAGGTAAAATCCGTACAGACCACCTATGTGTACAAAAAGTAATCCTATCAGGTTCGACCATGAGATACGAGGCACATATTCTGTCTCGGTACTACGATAGCTTCCATCAGCCATTAAAAAATCATCTGTTTCTGTTAATCTACGATTCTTCAAATTATTCTTCTTGCAATTATCTTCTAGTCCTTGATACATGATGGGCGATATTTGTTCTTTATCCGAAGATATTTTCATTTCAATTCACTTTCATGAATTTGTCTAAAAATTTTAATTATATAGAGATTGATCTTCAGTCTTCATCAACTTTCTTCTTTGCATCCTAATTTCTTTTGAAGGTGATGTTGAGTTGATGGCATTTGGAATATTAAAAAATAAATTCTGTAATAAGAAATAATAACAGAAATTTTTTTTTTCTTTTGTAATTATTCTTAATAGAATCTTTATGAGAATTTATTTCGAGAAATAATTTTTATTTTTATGACTTCAATAAAAATAAAAAAATAAAATATATATTATAGAAAATGAAAAATAGATTACTTAAGTTTTCCAATTTTAAAAATATTATTGTTAATTAATCCAAAATAAAATTCTATTTTATAAAAAAATATCAATAGACTAATTTTATAACTACGTTTTTATAATTTTTCAATCTATAAATATATTATTCGAGAAATTTATTAAGATTAATCTTGATCAATATTGATGAATGAAATATTTTTTTTTTCCTTCACAATAAATTATTTAAGAAATGTATATCTTTTTTCGTAATCGATAATTTGATTATAAATAAGTATTTATGTGAAATCGATCTATCACTGTACAATATCATCATACGCCAACTAATAACTATGAAAGACTGAGCCAGACAATCTGACTAAATGTTAAATGATATCGCTTATCAATCATGTATGTACAGTGTTTCATGAAAATATTTATTTGAACACTATCTTAAAGGAATCAAATTTATGAAAATTTTATTTTTGAATGAAAGTTTATATGTATAATAAGTTAAAACATAATAAGTTAGCATTTTTTTCTCAATAGAAATCTGTTAAAACAAATGAAATTTTTAAAATTTGAACATTTTTTCATATTTTGAATATAAATTTTATATTTTGCTTTAAATTTCTATTTATCGGAAATGATAGAGTATTTTGAATATTTTGTAATTTAAAATTTTATTTTTTTGTCATATTTTATCATTACAATATTAATCTAAAAACTGAAAAATATATTGAAATTTTATTTTAAATATTGATTTCATTTTCTTAAAATGATATATTTCGTTAAGTTGTATATTCATATATACCCATTATATTCTACAAATATTTTATATAATTATAAAATTTCATTAAAAATAAAAGAAACTTTTTGAATTTTTAAATTTTATAATTCTTTATTTTTAATGAAAATTTGCGAGTATGAAGAATATTAATAATATATTTTTTTTATTGAATATTAATTTAAAAAATCTCAATATTCAAAATTTCAATGCGTTTTTTTTTAAATATAATTTTATAATGATACAAGATATAATATTGAAAAATAAAAAACTTTAATGTTATATCACCTTTGATAAAAAGAATTCCCATTCAAAAAATATAAAAATTTTAGGAATTGATTTCACTCTCAAAGAAATTTTTCGTCGATAAAAAAATATAACCTATTATGTTTTATATATATAAAANTATAATATATTATATATTATATATATATAATAATATATATTTATTATATAAATATATATTATTAAATAATATATTTTGGTTTACATGTTTAATTCTTACGATCATGATCTTGATATAAATTAATCGTTAAATTGAAAATATTGAATAATTTACAAAGAAAATTTGAGAATAATT